ATTAATTGAAGTACTTATTAGGGATTTTAATGAAGTATTATGATTTATTTCGAGAGTTTACATTGATTATGATTGCTGAATGTTGTTGTTGTTGATGATGAATTATTAGGGCTGTAGTGGTAGTAGGACCAGTGTTACCAGAATGCATTTTGTAGTGAAAAAACACTAAACAGCTCACTGGGGGTAAATTGGTCATTTTAACCAGTTCTATCCTGTCCTGTCCTGTCTTACCAAACGCTGAACAGCTGTCCTGTCATGTCCTGTCCATTCCTGTCTGCGCACCAAACGCACCCTTCAAGACCAATACGATTCATTAAAACTCAATACGATCAGTAAAGCTCAACTAACGCCCATTAAAGTCCAATAAAACCGTTAAAGCGCAACTAACATCCGTTAAAGTCCAATACGGTTAAAGATTTAATTTCTAATTTAAAAAAATGATTTTTCTAAAAATATTTCAGGCGGATTTTTTTTTAATTTTTATTATTTTTCTGCCGGAAATCCGCCGGAAAAAGTTAAAAGATTTAATTTTTAATTTTTAAAAATAATTTTTCTAAAAATATTTCCTGCGGATTTAGTTTTTTAAAAAATTTATTATTTTTCCGCCGGTAAAGATTAAAAGAATTAATTTTTATTTTTTAAAAATGATTTTTCTAAAAAACATTTCTGGCGAATTTATTTTTTTTAAAAATTTATTATTTTTCTGTCGGAAAAGGTTAAAAAATTTAATTTTTTATTTTTTTAAAATGTTAATTTCAAAAATACTCCGACGGATGTATTTGTGTTAAAAAAGTGTTATTATTTTTCCGCCGGAAAATATCAAAACCGGTTTTTAATTTCAAAGATTAATTAATTTCAAAAGATTAATTAAGAAATCCGTCGGAAATACAATCAGTCTAATAGTTCCGGCGGAAGTCAATAAAAGTTGACTTTTTTGAGGTCCCACGGAAATCCGCCGGAATTTTACTTGCGAAAAATGTCCGCCAGAAAATGCGCCGGAAATGTCCAGTTTTCTAGTAGTGATAGAAATAAGCTTTTTTGTAAAAAAAAAATGGACAACTAAAATAAGCCAACCTTATGAATTCACATAACGAAATCCCGTCTTCCTTTGACATATCTACTTTATTCTTCTAATCTTTCATATTTAAACTAATGTTGGATAATAAAAAAAACAACCAATTTTACATATTTGAGTATAATACTCAAATCTCATTATCCTTGCTTTTACTTTTATATATATATATATATAGAGAGAGAGAGAGAGAGAGAGAGAGTAGATAATAAATTTCTATAAAAAAAGGATGACTAAAATGAGCCAACCCTTGTATAAATAGTCTTTTTACAAAAAAAGGGTCGGTTAAATAAGTCAACCATCTATATTCGAGTTCACATAGATGAATCATTTCCTCCTTTATTATACCTATTTCCTCCGACCCTATGAATTCACACAAAAAAATCATCTCCTGTTTTGATACATCTACTTCTTCATTTTAATCTTTCATCTTTTCATCAGTGCAAGATAATCAAAATCAAACAAATTTAGATTTGGATAATTCCTTTTTCTAATAGATATAATAGATAGTAGATATATAACTTTATTAAAAAAAATGCTCTATTATGTAATGTAAATTATATGTTACAACTCTGAAATCTTCATAGAATATTCGAGCTCTTTATTCTTATACACATCTCTTTCTCATCTATCATCAAATCACATCTCATTGCTTATGTTTTTTCCTTTAATATATTGTTTGATTTTTAATGGTTTAGTTTTTTAATTTCTTTTATTTATAATAATTAAAAAATTTTGTTAAAAGAGGGTCATCAAAAATAACACAATCCTATCAGTTGCATATACCATACTCCCTCCAATCTATCATATTCTAAAATCTTGCTAATTAATCACATGTAGTTGTTCATATATATATATATTCTTTTGTTAACCAAGTCATTAGTGTTAACTTTATTAACCTAAATGGGCCAATCAGAATTCACCTATTCACTTAGTTTCATCTGCGGTTGCTACATATTGTGAGGGTATTTTGTTTTTTTTTTAATTAAAAAAATCTGGTTAATAAATATATAAATAAGAAGAGAAAATCATTTGACAATTAGTTGTCTTAATTACCTCCCAGATAGTTATGGATGGTTTTTAAATATTAGTGTTTTTAGATAATTTCTTTTTCTTCCAGAAGTTATTCATGCCATTCATCAGCGAAGTTACAGGTATGAGGACGAGGTCGACACTTGATGAAGTAAGGCTGCCAAAAAGGTTGATGTTAACAGAGTTGGTTGAAGCCTGCAAGTGAGGAATAGAGACATTGAAGGTTGCAGGTAAGGATCGGACGAGGGGTTGAACTGTTACATGTTGACGGTGAGGATGAGGGGATACTAAGAAGTTCGAGAAAGAAGGGGAGATGGTCGTGAGGGTGTTGTGATGGAGGTGAGAGGCAGGAGAATTGGTAGCGGCTTCTGGTGGTTACAAGACGGTAGTTGATGGTGAAGGAGACGATAACCAGAGATGGTTGTGGTTGACAGTAAGGGAGATCATGATGGGTCAATTAGCTTTCATGATGGTTTCATAAGTGAACACATTCACTTATATACTACAATAGTGACATTAGTTCATCATTGTTCCCCAAATATTGTTTTTAAGTGAACATTGTTGATAACAATATTATTCATATGTGAATATGGTTGCTCAAATCATTGTTCTTAAGTGAACATTGGTCATACATGAGCATTGTTCATACATGAAGATTGGTCATACAATGATGAAGACGATGGATATCAATGATGATGATGGATTCAAAGATTTCAAAATTGCATGAAATACGAAGTCGCTATGTTGTTACCGTGAAATCAGGGAACAAATCTCATTTTCTAATTTCACTCCCAAAATGTTTTTGCTATTATAACCCTGTTCATTTATGAAATCATTTTATAGACTCGTGTTCACTCTCAAAATATATAATTATAAAACATTAATTTCTTATTAACCGTTGATTGATTTTTTGGATGGTTGATATATTAACAAAGTTAATACTAATGACTTGGTTAACAAAAGAAGACCCTATATATAGACTTGGGATTATGTGAGACAAGACTGTTTTCGTGAGACACATGACACGATTTTTACACTTGAAACTTCACAGTAAAACACTGTAAAGGTACTTCACAGTGTTTTTGCAGTGAAGATTCAACTTTTTTTACCTTCACAATATTTTGTTGTGAAGTTTCGAGTGTAAAAATTGTGTCTCACGAAAACAGTCGTATCTCACGTGAATCCAACTCCCTATATATAGAGGGGGG